CTTAACTCAAATGTCATGCTGTCTCTACATTGCTCCTTGTAAGACCGAATACTTTGCTGGATTTTTCCCATCATAGTAACTTCTCTCACAAAAGCACTAACGGGACTCTGCTCTCACGTCCAGTTCTCAGTCTTCCATCTGTCTGTATGCAACTTCAGAGATCAAGTGAATCATTCCAGTCACCAAATGAGTTTCATTTTGTTGCATATTTATGGACTCTTATCTGACCCATTATCTGCTATCTAAAAACAAAACAAAACCTTGTCCTTGATCACAAGAAAGACCTTTACTGAATAAAAACAACTCAAAAGTTAATGTTCATGCTACCTTGGAAGGCTGTTTGGCAGTACCCACTAAAGCTGAATGTATGTACATCCTGACCCAACAATCCCACTCCCTGGTGTATACTCACAGAAGTGCATAGGTACATTAACCAAGAGACAAGTTCAAGAAAGTTCACAGGATTCACAGGAACAGTATTCATAATGGCCTTCCGGAAACTAGAAACAACTCAAATAACCATCAAAAATAGACTGGGAGAATGGAAAACTAAACTATGCCTAAATGTGATGATATGGATGAATCTCCTAGACATAATGATGAGTAAAATAAGTTAGACAGAAAAGAGTTGTATTGTACAATTCCATATATATAAAGTTCCAAAACAAGCAAAACTAAACGACGGCATTAAAATCAGGAAAGTGCTTACTCTTCAGAGTGTAGCTATTGGAAAAGGGCAGCAAAGGGGAAGAGGGTTTCTCGAATGCAGATAATGTTCCATTTTTGTTCATTTTAAAAATCTGAATGCTGGTTATTATTATGTCCATTTTTTGAAAACTCATTAAGTTCCACACTAATTTTTGCAAATTTTCTTTTATCTGTTATAATACCGCAATAAAAAGTTATTTTAAAGACTGCAATGTTTTATTCTAGGTGAGTTAATACATTTAGACTCTTATCTTGCTAAACAGATAAAGGCAGATAATAAGATATAGGTTTGTTTTTTAAAAAATGATTTTCATTTCAGTTACTGACTAAAAGAGAGTTTCACTCATCTTAATGTAAGAAAATGTATTTTTAAACTCCAGTTGCAAATCCCATTGCCATCCATCGTCCTGGAATTAACCTATGTGATCACATATTCAGGTTTAAGCAAATATTTTAAATAAAACTATTAATAATTAGCAGTTGTTCACTCAGGCTACACTGTCAACATCTTTAAAATTATTCTCCTTTCTGCTAAATTAACTTTATGTGCTTAACCTCAGAATGAATGAAGAAATCTTGAACATCATATAGCTTAGGAAAGCATGTCATGATATGTCTTCTATGCATAAAATTTCAAACTCAACGTCTTTCTTTTTCACTTTGTGATGGGATCTTTGAGTAAAACACATTGCACGTGAATATTTTAAAAAATCAGAATGTTAAACTTTGAAAAAACACTTTCTACCTGAGAGTTTCCTATCCTTCCATTTATAACTAAACATTGACTTGTAACCTCAAAATTTAATTTAAAAAAAAAAAAAAGAGAGAATATGACAAAAACAAATACCTATGGATAATCTACTTAAGACTATGTTCCCAATTCTTAGAATATGTCATCACATATGAAAGAATAGCTTTTGATATAAATATTTTAGTAACTATAAGAAGGAAACGGGCAAAAGAAAACACAGACATGCAGGAAGTAAAAGTTTATTCAAAAATTTCCTTTGTAAAATAATTCTTGACAAAGATGAGTTAGTGGAAAGAATAAATATCCTGAGGCACACTACAATATTGTTTCCAACAGATTATTCTGAAAAGCTATTTCATTGGTAAAGGATGTTACCATTTACTTCCCTGAATATCATGATGCTATGATTACAAGCCATCATTTGAAAAGTTTTCCAACTTCCTTAAACAGCGATAGAGTAAAGGTTTAAGGGGAGAAAAAGTAGTATCCATGATGTTCTTATTAATATTAATGAACATTATGACCTTTTAAACACTGATTCTAAGTCACAGGTGACAAGTAATGGGAAGGCTAATAAATTTACTTAGGTTCTCTGTAGCATAAATGTTGCTAGTCCTTTTAACTGAAATTAGAAATTCATGTATCTTTAAGATCAACTTTGAATCCTAGGTTCCAGAAAACCTATGGACAATGTTCCAATGCCATAAGAGCCACCATTCAGGCAGACAACTTTAGAAAGTCACCATTCCAGTGAACTGAAGGGCAGAGATACCACTCTATGAAAAGTGACTGAGAAATCCCATATAGCCGGTTATGATTAAGCACATTAACTTTATTCCTTTTTCTATAATGAATACTATACAACCAATCTAGTAAGAAAGTAATCTTTCTGCAAAAATTGTAAAGCACTAATAAATATTTGCAAGCTCGTGCTATACATAATTCAAAAACTGTTAAAATGTCATACTTCTTTCCTATTTTTATGAAATATCATGAAATACTAAACAGCTTAGTACGTAAAAAGTCTATGAATATTTAATTTATCAAAACTTTAAGCATTAGCTTATTTTAATATTCTAGAACTCAAAGGTGTGAATTTGGTTTATACTTTCAAAGAGTATTGCCCTATAAAATAGGGGAGTTGGAACTGTTCACCACACCAACTTGGATAATTAGGTAGAGTTTCTGCTACAAATGAACAAATATGCTTTGTGAATATTGTGATCAAACCATGTTGACTTTGAATACAGTTTTAGCTCCTAATTCTGTATTCTTCCTTGAAGATACATTTAGAAAGGCATTTTACAAACTAATCTGTAAGTAAAACAAGTAGGAGAATTAACATATTATAAATCAGATTTTCTAGATGTTATATATTCAGGATTTGTGAACCTATTCTGTGAGCCTGGCAAGTCACTGAATCCTTCTTTATCAAAGCACAGTACAAATGATGAAAACTCTTACATGCTTACAAATGCCCTGTGACTTTCAGGTATTAGGCAAGTACTAACTAAAGCCATTGAAGAGCAAAAGCCCAGCTGTGCCTGCATATATAATTGTTACTGTTTTAGTAGGCTTAGAAAGAACATTATTATGCTTTATGTAGCTTATACATTGCATCTTTTAAAATTTTACTTTTATATTTAAACTTCTAATTCCTAGTGTGATTAAAATCATTAGACTTTCCTTTTAAGAGACAGGTATCTGGCCAGGCCCGATGGCTCACGCCTGTAATCCCAACACTTTGGGAGGCCCAGGTGGGCAGATCACGAGGTCAGGAGTTTGAGACCAGCCTGGTCAGCATGATGAAATTTCATCTCTACTAAAAATACAAAAAATTAGCCAGGCATGGTGGTGTGTGCCTGTAGTCCCAGCTACTTGGGAGGATGAGGCAGGAGAATTGCTTGAACCCAGCAGGCAGAGGGTGCAGTGAGCCAAGATTGTGCCACTGCACTCCAGCCTGGGCAGCAGAGTGAGACTCCATCTCAAAAAAAAAAAAAAGAATAAAAGAAAAAAAAAAGAAAGAGGAATCTTTAAATAACTCGATGACAACAGAAAAACCAACTAGCCCCATTAAAAAGTGGGCAAAGGACATAAATGGATAAACTGCATTTTTCTAAAGAAGATATACAAATAGCCAATAAGCATATGAAAAAATATTCAACATTACTAATTATCAGAGAAATGCAAATGAAAATCACAATGAGATATCATCTTATGCCAGTCAGAATAGTTATTATTAAAAAGTCACCAAATAACAGATGTTGGTAAGGATGCGAACCACACTGCTTGTGGGAATGTAAATTAGTATAACCTCTACAGAAAACAGTATGGAGATTTCTCAAAGAATTAAAAACAGAACTACCATTCGATCCAGCAATCCCACTATTGGGTACGTATCTGAAGGAAAATAAATCATTGTATATAAAAAGATACTTGTACTTGCATGCTTATCACAGCACTATTCATAATATCAAAGATATGAAATCTGCGTTAAGTGTCCATCAGTGGATGATTGGATAAAGAAAATGTGGTATACACATACAATGGAGTATTATTCAGCCCTAAAAAAGAGTAAAATCATGGAAGTATATACACTAAAACCCAGACTTAACCACTACGTAATATATCCATGTAACAAAACATGAATCATAACCCTTAAATTTATATGAAAACATTTTTTTAAAAAAAGAAGAATGTTTACCTTAAGAAGTATAGTAATACAAAACTGTCTAGACTATATTAAGCTCATAATCATGTACATAAGCTTATACTTTTGTCCTGCTTTTTAAGACTGTTATATTTTATATACATTCATACTTCCATTGAAAAGATATACTTCTTATCTGGCAACTTTCCTATTACTGCTAAGATTGTTAAACATTCTGATGAGCAATGTAAGATGTATATAGGCATAATATTGTTTATTTCTTTAAAAGAGTAAATCAATATAGCCAGCTAAGAAACTAAACACAATAAAATAAATAAATATAAACACCTAAGAAATTTTACAAACTAATTTTTGAAATATTCTACTGTATAAAAATAAAATTATATGACATAATAGCTTTAGTTTATCATTTGTCTCATCATTTGGCAGCTGTCTCAAATATGATAAACAGAAAGATATCTGATGAATTGAGAAATCAGTTCTTATAAAAGTCTCATTTATATTCACTCCTGGAGTGTAATTGCATTAATGTTAAAAACTCCCAATTCTAAATTCATTTATTTAATCTTAAAGGTCCTTTATACTGGTAACACAGTGTTACACAGATATAGGCTTATTATGAATTTAATTGTGCAAATCTAATCACCCATTTAACTTTGCAGGAATTACATATGCCTTAATATTTTCATTCCTCAGAAATAATAAAATCATAATTAAAATAATTTTTACTGAAAATTCAAATACAACTTTTTGGTCAGTGAATATTTATGGCTTAATGTCATAGGCAAAAAGAAAAGGAAGAAAACTGTAACCATTTTTAGTAGAAACTACTTTCTACTTTGGCTTAGTGAAAGATGGGAGTCACTCTACCTCACAAAGCAGTAGGTCAATGATGTGGAACACCATGCAGAGTGGGAACTTGGCAGTAAAAAGAGTGAGAAACCACTGGGATGCATACATATGAGCTTCCAGGTTCAGATCACAAAAATGGCTATGCAGGTCCGGTAGCTGCTCCTGCAAGTCAAAGTGGAAAATTTAGCAAGAGGAGCAATGAGAACCTTGCAGCAGAGCAGTGAAGTTCCTGCCACAAGGGCAACTTATAACAGCTTTCTATGATCACTGTAACTCTATTCTAGTATTGGCTATGTTTTATGTAACTGCACAGAAGTGATGAGAATTGGAGATATGATAGATAATGAAGGAAAATAAAACCAGGCTTGTTATAAACAACTAAGAAAGACCGTCTCTTGCTCACTTGACTGTTCCTGTTTCTTGCAAAATGCTCATTTGACCAGAGCAGCTGTAGTCTAATGAACATCTTGACTCCAGGGTCAAGTCACAGCACCCCCATTCAGGGTTAAATTCTTTTTTCTTTTTTTTTTTTTTTTTTTGAGAAAGAGTCTTGCTCTATCATTCAGGCTGGAGCGCAGTGGCAAGATCTTGGCTCACTGCAACCTCCACCTCCCAGGTTCAAGCCATTCTCCTGCCTCAGCCTTCTGAATAGCTGGGATTACACGCACCCTCCCCCAAGCCTGGTTATTTTTATTTTATTTTATTTTATTTTATTATTTTTTTTACTAGAGTAGGGGTTTCACCCTATTAGCCTGGCTTGTCTTGAACTCCTGACCTCAAGTGATCTGCCCCTCTTGGCCTCCCAAAGTGCTGGGATTAGAGTGAGCTACTGCACCCGGCCCAGGGTTCAATTCTTAACAAGCTAGAAAATAAATGTATCTTCTCTTTGGAAACCATCTAATGCCAACATTATTTGGGATCTATGATATTTCAGTATATTTTCTGAGCCCTTAGAAAACTCCAAAGCGTGACAAACTATTTAGAAATCTGTCTTCAACATATTAAAAATGGCAAAGCAAAGAAATTGTGCAAGGGTGTAATATATAAAATTGGATATCTCCTAAAAATGCCTTTATGGTAACTTTATTTTTTCCAATTTAAACAAGCAAATACTTTCCAAAACCATGAACAACAAGGTATAAAGTATTAGCATAGCTATTACCATAACTGAAAGACAAAGGCAAAGACATGTAAAAGCCCACCTTCGTTTTGTTTTCATAAATAGACCACAAAAAGAAGAATAAAAAACAAAACAAACCATTTCTTGAACTACATGCTTTCTTTGAAAAATAGCCAAATGTGCCCATTAGGTGCTTCAAATGGAGTGTCCAAATCTCATTCGGTTAACTGAAAAAAAGTGCTAATAGAAAAATGTGGTTGAGTTTCTTCATAGTACCACAAATTTGCTCTTTGCTTATTAGGAATATTTACTTGATTCTCAAAGCCCTCAGGAATACTGACCTTTGAAAATATATGAACCCTTTTGTAAATAAAAGGTAAAAAGCAAGTAATCCCAAATATTTACTTGGTAGAATTAAATCATTAAAAAGGAGCTTATTGCTGTTAATATCCGTACTTACCAGGTTCTTCTACAGTCCTTTTCCTCCTCAATGCCCATTTGTCATTTTACTTACAGCTCATTTTACATCCCCCCTCCTTTTCTTTTCAATTTTAAAGTCTACCTTCCTACATTCCCTTCTCCTAATACACTGTTCCTTCAACCTCACTGCAAATCCATCTTCTACTGCCCTGTTCCTCTAATCTTTCAGTCTCCTATTGGCTTCGCTTCCCTCTTCAGACACCTATGGATCTCCTGGCACTACTTATCAATGAGTTCCTACTAGCATCTGCTCTCACATTCCACTAACCTCCTTCCTCAACCACTTTACCTTTCCCCAATACGGAATCAATCCATCCATACATTTCCTTCACATTTATCTTGGATACCCAACACCCCTTTCAGAAAAAGTCATATAAACATGCTGCATAGACCCATTATAAATTTAAGATTATCAACTTCGGGCGGAACTTGAAAGCTAGTTAAAAATTCCCGTTGTCAGCTCTGGTCAATCACTTCGCCTGTGGTCACAATCTTTTTTATTATGTAATATTTGACATATATAAAAGAATACATGCTTCTCACATACCTTTACAAATACGTATTATAAAGCACAACAACATTAAAATTAGGAATTATATTTTAAAGATTTTTTTTTTTTTTTTTGAGGCAGAGTTTCGCTCTTGTTACCCAGGCTGGAGTGCAATGGCACGATCTCGGCTCACCGCAACCTCCGCCTCCTGGGTTCAGGCAATTCTCCTGCCTCAGCCTCCTGAGTAGCTGGGATTACAGGCACGTGCCTCCATGCCCAGCTAATTTTTTGTATTTATAGTAGAGACGGGGTTTCACCATGTTGACCAGGATGGTCTCGATCTCTTGACCTTGTGATCCACCCACCTCGGCCTCCCAAAGTGCTGGGATTACAAGCTTGAGCCACCGCGCCCGGCCTAAAGATTTAAAATATGTACCTACATTACAGTATTTTAGGTATGTTTTATTCTCTTATGAATATCTTTCTGGCTTTTCCAAGTGTTCTATGTGGACCCAAATAAGGAAGCGGTGCTAATTAGTATGGCGAAAGCTCTTAGGTATTTCAATGTTTATTCTGTAAATATCTTCATTCCTCTAAAAACAATACTTGGCAATCTCTTAATGATTAAACTCATTAGATTTTCACTTCAAAGTATGTTAAATTGGAACATTTAAAATATGAGACTATTTTTAAAATCGTATAATGGCTAAATAAATGCATTATGATAGATCAATATAGATGTTAATCTGAAACTAAATCCATTTACATTTTTCGTAATATTCCATTAAACTTCTATAATTCGTTATTGCTTAGCAACTCTTAGGCTTTTTCTACGACTCAACAAATCCCAGAGTGATGAAAGTTCCTGGTTTTTATTTACCTGCATTAGTCTCTCCAACTGGTAGAATTTGCAATGAAGATCTTCAAAGTTGTTTTTGTAAAGGTCTCTCAAACCATAGTCGTACATGATTTTCACCAAAACACAGAATGCTTGTTCCTCTGGCATCTACAGAAAAGTATATATATATACAAGATAAATAAGTGGCATTTTGCCAGAATGTCAGAAGTTTCTTCATGTTATTAGTCCTCTGCATCAGTAGCTGAAGGCCTGAAGTGAATGAAGTCCTTCAGAGACTGCCTTTGGCAAAGTGGCCTGACCTCCTTATCCTCTTTTGTTAATTTTAATCATGTTGTCATTCATTCATTAGGCCATCTTTAAAAGCAGGAAATACACTCATGATTAAAAAATCAAAACACACTTATAAGGCTGAGGCAGGTGGATCACGTAAGCCCAGGACTTTGAGACCAGCCTCGCTAACATGGCGAAACCCCGTCTCTACAAAAAATAAAAAAATTAGCTGGTTGTGGTGACATGAGCTTGTGGTCCTAGCTACTTGGGAGAATAAGGTGGGAGGATCGCTTGAGCCTGGGAAGCGGAGGTGGCAGTGAGTGAAATCACATCACTGCATTACAGGCTGGGCGATAGAGCAAGACTCTTGTCTCAAAAAAGAAAAAAATCAAAACAATGTAAAAGGATCTAAAGGCAAAAGTCTCACTCCTCCCTATTATTATATATATATTAATCCCGGGTGCCTATATCCCCCAACCTCTTAATTTCTCTTGTATCCTGCCACTGATTATCTATGCAAATAAAATAATTACATTTCTAATTTTATTTTGTCCCATCCTACATAAAAGATAATATTCTATATACATTGTTATACATGTTGATTTTTTTCTTAAGGATATCAGTTGTAAATCTTTCTATCTCAGTATAGAAAGTTTTCTCTTTATTTTTTTAAAAGCAATTACACAGTATTCCATTATATAGAAGTACTATCATTCATTTAACCAGTTTCCTATTGATACTTGAGATGTTCCTAATTTTTTAATCAAATAAAGCTGCAATGAACTTTGTTTATGCATAAAAATAAACTTTGTACATATGCAAATATGCGGTGGGGTACAGCACATTGACAAAAGGGGGAATGCTGGGTGAAAAAATAATGCATTTTAAATTTTGGTAAACAGCGTGAGATTATCCTTCCAGAGTCTTCTTGATGTTGCTACTTTCTGTAAAATACAGCTTTCAGGGTAACAGTCAGTAAACTCTAATATATTAATTAGCTCTCACAGAGGTATTTTTTATCTAAACAGAGAATAAAGTCTGAAGACAAAGAAACAAACCTCTAAACTGTGGTATCAACAGTTGAAAGAATATGCAAAGGGATTCTAGAAACTATGTCAAGCATAAAGAAAAAGTTGTAATTACTCAATGTCCTAAGATGTAACTACTACATAAACATCTACTTTAAATATTACTTCCTTGAAAATTTACTTTTGGTTGATTATGGTGTTTCATATATTTGTTAGACTAACTTCATATTTCAATAACTGAATCAAGTAGAGTTCCACTTACCCACTTAGAAATGTAATTGTTTATTTAAGGTTTCACACAAATCAGACACTTCTATTTTCTAATTATAAATAATAAAATACCCAAATTTGTTAAATAACATCTCCTAGAAGTTAAATAAATACACTTCAGTGTTTTCATTTTGATTCTTTAAATATTTGCTTATTTTCTTTTTATCTATGAGTTGTTTGAGACCTTTTCAAAATTTCTGGCCACTGACTTCAGCTATTCAAGTTAGCAACTATTTTTCAGCTTCCATTCGGTTATTTAGGATATAATTACACTGTATTCTTTACTCCTTTGTCATCAAAGCCTCAAGTGACACTAACTTGAACATATATGGCCTAGAATACTTCTCTTACCAAGTCCTACGCCTCTTCATCTTCCTCTCAGATCTCTATTCAAATGGCTATACAAAACAGCTGCATGTAAGATAACTACCCAGGTTAAGTGAGGTGGCTCACGCCTGTAATCCCATCACCTTGGGAGGCCAAAGTGGGTGGATTACCTGAGGTCAGAAGTTCGAGACCAGCCTGGCCAACATGGAGAAACCCAGTCTCTACCAAAAATACAAAAATTAGCTGGGCGTGGTGGTGTACACCTATAGTCCCACTACTTGGGAGGCTGAGGCAGAAAATCTGCTTGAACCTGGGAGTCAGTGGTGGTAGTGAGCTGAGATTGCCTGGGCAGCAGAGTGAGACTCTGTCTCAAAATAAAGAAAGAAAGAAAGAAAGAACTGTAGTCAATCTTAGAGAAACTAATTCATTTAAGTCTCTCTCTCTAAGTAAATGACAATTAGTTGAATGTCTTACCATCTGGTATCTTATGAAGGGAATATGTTTTTATTTCTTTGAATGTAGTAAAATCATTAGGGCAAATAAAAGGTTTAAGTGCCTTTTGGCATTCATACATATAGTCACTGAACAGATGAGGTGCAAGCACTGTTCAAGGCTTTAGGGATATAGAGATAAAGGTATAGTGCCTCCCGAAGGGAAGAGTAAACAGGCAACTCTACTTGAGGTTCATATGGATGCAGAAGTCCTTGGGTGTTGGAAAGGTAAACATCAGAGACTGTTTTGGAGGAGGCAGAGCTAGATGGTCAAATAGAAATATTCAGCAATCATCCTCCCTCAAGAATACCAAATTAAACAACTATCAGTGCAAGAAAGCAACAAAAATCAGGTGAGTGATCACAGTACCTGGTTTTAGTATGATATAAAGAAAAAGGCACTGAAGAGGGTAGAAAAAGTCTTCCATTGTGTACACCACACCTCTCCCATCCCCACAGCACTGTGCGGAGAAAGAATCCACGCACTTGGGAAAGGGAGAGTGCAGGGATTGTGGGGCTTTGCTTTGGAACCCACTGCTGCCCTGTCACAACAGAACACAACACAGGGCAGACTTCATCAGGCGCTCAAGAAGGAAAGATTTAGACTGGCCCCAGCCAGAGGGGAAGCCTCCTGGTAGACTAAAGTACCCTGGAATCCTGAACAAATTTGAAAAGTGGTCTAGGCCACAAGTACTACAATCTTTGGGCAAGTCCTGGTGCTGTTCTGGGCTTAAAGCCAGCGGACTTCGGGTACACAAGATCCAGTGAAACACCAGCTGGGGTAGCCAAGGGAGCAAACAGAAAAAAACAACAAAAAAGCAGAAGAAGCTATACTTACACCCCTTCCCCAACTCCAGGCAGGGCTTGGGAGATACCCTTTTCCTGCTTGTGGAAAAGAGTGGGAGGAGTAAAGAGGACGTTGTATTGCCACCTGAGTACCAGCTCAGCCACAGTAGCATGAAGCAGAGTCCTGAGTTCCCTGAGTCCAGACCCTAGCTCCTGAACAGCATTTCTAGTTCCATCCTGGGCCAGAAGGAAACCTGCAATCCTGAATGGAAAGACCCTGGGGCCTTGAATAAATATCAGCAGTAGCCAGGCAGTAGTCACCAGGTACTGTGCTGGCTTCAGGTGTGACCCAGTACAGTCACAGCCACAGTAGCCAGTCCCAGCTGTGGTGGCCAGCGCTTGTGTCACCCCATTCCTCAACTCCAGGAAGCCCTGCATGAGGAGAAAAAAAAGCTCCATTTATTTGGAGGAAAGTAAGAGAAGAGAAAAAGAGATTTTAGGAAAGATGGAATCTCTCAGATCTCATCCAAGCCCACCAAGGTTGTATCTCAAAGTCTGCAAGAGTTGCAGCATTACTTGGCTTGGGTCATCCCCTAGTGCAGATATGACTGCAATGACTAAAGACTTAGATCACAACACTTAATTCCCTGGGTATAAAAAAGCCCAGACTATGAAGATTAGAATAAATAACTTCCCTTTTCAATGCCCAGATATCAATGAACGTCCACAAGCATCAAGAACATCCAGGAAAACATGACCTCATCAAATGAACTGAACAAAGTACCAGGGAGCAATCCTGGAGTGAGAGATACGTGACATTTGAGAGAATTCAGAATAGCTATTTTGAGGAAGCTCAATGAGCTTCAAGACAATACAGAGGAAAAATTCAGAATCCTATCAGATAAAGTTAACAAAGAGACTGAAATAATAAAAAATAGTAAAGCAGAAATTCTGAAGTTAAAAGATGCAAATAACAAACTTAAAAATACATCAGAGTCTCAACAGCAGACGATCAAGCAGAAGAATTAGTGAGCTTGAAGACAAGCTATATGAAAATACATAGAGGAAAAATAAGAAAAAAGAATAAAAAGAAATTAGGCATGCTTGCAAGATCTAGAAAATAGCCTCAAAAGGGCAAATCTATGAATTACTGACCGTAAAGAGGAGGTAGGGGACGAGATCAGGGTACAATACTAGAAAATAAATGGACTGGAATTGAAAAGTGATGCATAGCAGTAGGGCTGCAACATACTATTATATGCCATTTTTATCATACAGATAAAACAGACAATGTAAACAGTTCAAGAGCACAGATACCAATAAAAAATGGTAAAATAACTAGAAAGTGATGAATTTTGAGTACTCATTAGTTTGTTTTTAACATGAGTTATTTAAGTTTTTATCATTTAATTTTTAACAATGGCTTTGCTTAACAACTGGTTCACAGAATTCCTGAAAATTTAACAACTGGACCTCAAAAGCTGGTATAATCTGGCTGTAGCGTAGCACCGATAGGACCATGAGGAAGAGTTAGGATGATATTCTAAGCACAGTGAGAAATCAGTGAAGAGTTTACAGCAGCGGATCTGATTTTTATTTTTAGTAAGGTCATGTAACTGCTATATGGAGAAGAGTACAGGGAAAAAGATTATACATACAGTCGGCCTTCCATTTCCACTGGGTTCTGCATCTACAGATACAACTAGTCTCAGATTGAAAATATTTACCATAAAAAATAATACAAATAAAATACAAAAACTTTTTACTTAGCATTTTTATTATATTAGGTATTATAAGTAATCTACAGATGATTCGAAGTATATGAAAGGAGGTGCATAGGTTATATGCGGATACTATGACTATTTTATATAATGGACTTGGGTCTTTTCAAATTTTGGTATCTGTGGTGTTCCTGGGACCAACTCTTCAGTAGTTCCCAATACTGAGGGACAACTATATTTTAGTTTAGTAAGAA